AAATATCCTTTTCATTTCTGAGTATAATTGCATTGACTAAGTTCTGCCAAGCTCCATTTTCATTTTCCAACAATCCTTTTATCCATCTTATCTTAATATACCTAATAAATGAGAAGATATGCATCATATTGAGTCCACCCTCGTTCTCTGTGGCTACTAATATATCGCGTTTAATTGTCTCTACCTTTCCACCCAATACAAATTTAAATAATGTACGATTTAGTTCTGCTTCAACTTTGGCTGATGGACTTGGAAGTGCTGAGAAAAGATGTATAAATATGGGCAGAACAAGGGTTTTTACAACAATTACCTTACCAACAACTGACAGATGTCTTTGACTCCAGCTTGCCAATATTCGTTTTGCCTTTGTTAGTTTTTTCATGTAATTAATTTTCACCATTTGTTGTAAATCTGGCGAAAAATCTATACCAAGGAGCGTAAAGTTTGAGGAGGACCAAATTAGGCCCATTTCGGGACATATTATTTCATTAGTAAATTTCTTGTTTCCAATCCAAATGGCTTTTGTTTTTGTTATGTTACATTTAAGTCCAGACAATAGAAAAAGCTTTGCAAGATATTCATAGCTGCTTTAAGAGAAAGTTGAGATCCATCAAAAAGAATAAAAGTGTCGTCGGCATACTGACCCAATTTATATTCATTTACATCAAAGATCAGTCCCCGTACATCCACAATTTGCTTTAAAGTTATAGCTAAAATCTCAACCCCAATAATAAACAAGTAAGGTGCAAGGGGATCTCCTTGACGATATCCTCTTTCTAGTATAAAAAGATGATATATGCCCATTATTTATAACACAACTTTTAGATTCATTACAAAACAGCCTAAACCACTTACAAACAGAATCACCAAATTGAAAGATTGTCTATTCAATTGAGTCAAAGGCTTTTTCAAAGTCTATTAGTAATAATAAACCATATCTATTTTCAATTTCAAGTTGATTCATGATATCGTATAGTAGCCTGGTATTTTCTTCAATAAATCTTCCCTTCATAAATCCTTTTTGGGTATCACAAATTAAATATTTGTTTGTTAGCTTTAAATATTTTTTTTTATTCCATTGCATGCTATTATAAGGTAACTTTGTCTACCTGGATTTGACTTTTTTAAAAAAAAATCAGTTAAATTCTGTTTGACCTGATTGTCATAATATAGAAACACTGTATCTAGTTTTTAACCTTGATTCAGAACTAGTTAGGTTCTGTTAAGCAACATTGTTAAAAAAAAACATATAATTCTTTGTAAGAGTAAGATTCATTTAGTAAAATCTAGGCCATACATGGAGTACGTGATAATTATCATGTAACAAACTTCTGTTCCTTCTGGAAAGATTAACTCTTTACCCCCATCTGGACATCGGTTTTGCGTTTTAGTTAGTCTTATAGCTCATGTTATGATAAGAATTAGTCAGTCGGGCTCCAAACAAATAGTGTGACCGGTTTGAGTTGAATTTTTACTTTATTGATTTTCAAGTGATTGTTTTCTAAGGAAATACAAGCGCACATAGAGAATTCTTGTACAAAGACATTCCCTGAAAAGTATTCGGAATTCAAAACTGGAATATTAATTTTGTGATTTTAGAAGGAACTGTTGACACAACAGTATTCTGAAGAATATGACAAACGTCCATTTTGAATTTCATTGGGATTCGAACTCAGATTCATTTAGGACTTTTCAATAGTAGGACTTCCAATTTTTAATTCTTGGACCTTTTCCTCATTTTTACCTTGGTTTTCTAGGGAAATAAATTATTCGTTAAATTTTACAAAGCTTGTTGTCTTCATTCTTTTCTTGTTACTTTTTCTAAGAGCCAAAATATGTCACAGTTTGTTTTTTTTTCCTTTAACAAATAGCTTATCTTTTAACTAAAACGTGTTTGTGTGTGTTTCTGTATGTATCTGTTCTTTTGTATTCACGCGTAAGTGTGCTTGTATGTTTGTGTGCATTAGCGTACGTTTGTATGTGTGTGCTTGTGTATGTGTGTTTATTTTCTTTCCTAAACAAAAAGTTTATCCCTTAACAAAAAAGCATGTGTGTATGTATGTGTTTTGTATGCGCGCGTCCGTGTGTATGAGTGTATGTGTGCGCTCGTAATACATACACCCACTTTTTAAGAGATAAGCCTTTTGTTAAGGAAAACAAACACACACAAACACACACACATACAAACATACGCGAACGTACACAAACACATAGAAAGACTTTTTGTTAAGTGATTTTTCTGCTAAGGGAAGAAAAAAATGCCACACACACGACAGCGTGCATACAAAAACACAAACATACACACATACACTTTTTTGTTAAGGGATAAGCTTTATGTTAAGGGAAAAATTAAACACACGAACGCGTACATAGAAACGATGTCTGTGTTTGCTTTTTCCTTAACGAAAAGCTTACCCCTTATGAAAACAGTGTATGCATGTGTGTATATATGCGCGCGTACCATTGTATGTTGTTCATGCGTTTGTTTCTTCCTTAACAAAACTTATCCTTTGACAAAAAGTGTGCATGTATTTTTGTATGCACGCGTTCGTTTGGGTGTATATTTTGTGCGCGCGCGTACGTTTGTCTGTGTTTGTATGTTTGTTTCCCTTAAAAATCTTGTCCCTGCTCAATGTGTTTATTTTGTGGGAATGTGCAGTAGTATGACTATAACCACTAACTTTTTGAGGTGATTGTAGGTAATGGTGTGTTTTGTGTTTTCTTGTCGACCATTTATTGATAGTAAATAACATGGATTTTGTTAGTATGAGTGTTGTTTTGTATAAAAGATTATTTTAAGATTAGCACTTTCATCACTATGTTTTGCTTGGTAGATTATTCTGTCAATAAAGTTAGATGTCCCACTCTGCAAGACGTTATCATTTTTTCACCCGCTATGTTTGTTTGATAGAGGTCAGCCCCTTGTAACATTGTTGCCAATGTCAAGTAGCGTGACGTCACCCCACCTGTTCCATTCCAATTATCACTGTACAGACCCAATATTTTTTTTTTATCGCTTATACAGGCACAACCTTACGTCCTTATAAATCTCGTCCTCGGAATCGTCCCAGAATGTTTTGTAATGGTAATTTCCATCGCTGTGAAAAGCTATAACGCTTGACGAGGTGGGGACATATAGCTTCCACTGAGGCTATATGTAATTTGGATTTTTAATGTAGCTTTAACAGTTTTCCAGTCATATAGCTACGATATCTGCAGTGTGGCAGTTTATAGTGATGTCTAACACTGAGACGCTATGCCGCAGATATGTAGCATCATATCCCACCCAGTCACATTATCCTGACACAAGGCCGACAAGCCCTAACACTAACCTCTATATTTTGAGGTCTCACTGGACAGTTTTTTAGTGTTTTTTTTCGGGCAAATTTTCATCCAACGATGACCAATTGAAGAAACAAATAAAAACTAATGATTTTTGCTGATAGCACGCTTGTAAGTTTCCGACTGGGTTATTACGGTTAATTCCTTATGCAACTGGTGGCCTTTACACTGAACCGATACTGCCACCAACCCCTCTTTTTTACTTTCATTTTTGACAGAAAAGAACTATTGTGAACATATACCTGAGCCAAGGCGGATCAAAGAATCAGTATGTACATTAATCATTTTTAAAGTTCACTAGTACTATAACAAATTTACATACATTTCTTCACCCCTCAACCATGTAGATATTTTTTATAAATATTTACCTCTGTAGCAGACACATGTAAATACGTAAGCCTTGTTGGCTGTTCATTTGCAGCCCAAGTCACGCATTATCTCCAATGATAGTCTAACTATGATAGGTAGACACCATGAAGCCAACCCATTTTCAAGCCGTACTGAATGTAAATGTAAACCACATTTCAGATTTAGAGTGTGTGTGAATTTATAAATGCTAGGGTTGTCATAATTAGGCTCATGCCTTCTACCTTAAAAATTGGGGTGGGTGGCAAAGCACGAAACTATCTAGTAAGACCTAAGTGCCAAACGAAGCAGCTGCAAGTACCATTTTTATGTCTTTAGTATGACTAGGTATAAGATCCTGAAATCGAGGCGGACGCTCTAACCACTTAGGCCACCTGACTCGACTTGTTTCCATATATCGATGGAAACTAGTTAATTAGAAACATGTGTCTATCTTGACCTAAGTATTATTAGACAATCACATCAATTAATCGTTAAAATAATAATTTTTGTGACGATTATAATGAGGACAACAATACGATCGTCTCTATAAATTCGTTCTTTTATCTTTGTTTTCTCTCTTTCTTGAATAGCTCCCAATAAATAACAAGTATAGACATTTTATCCTCAGGTGCAGATGAATCGGGTCAGAAAAAATAAAGGTTAGAATACTAATGTACATTAATTTTGAGGTTCGCTTAATCGTGTAACCTATTTTCCAAGGTGATGATAGATATCATCACCTGTGACTTTACTATGCCTCAGTGAAAATAGGAAGAATATATTAAAGCCGAATATATATATATATATATATATATATATATATATATATATATATATATATATATATATATATATATATATATATATATATATATGCCAATGAATTGATTTTTAACAACAGGAACAGACGTATTGTTGAAATAAAAGTTGATAACTTTGTTTCCCATAAAACAGCGAAAGCACCACTTAGCGGGATATTATATGTCTGTATGCGTAACGATGCCAGTAACTTGTGTACCAATTATTATTTGAATACTCCAGCTGAATAAAGAGTTATTGCTCGGCTACGATTTGAACTTTATCCCACATTGGTGATGTGATGTAATGTGATTATGATTTTTAACGTAGTTTTAACAAATTTTCTGTCATATCGCTAAGATGTCTTCAGTGTGGCAGTTTATAGTGCCGCAGACATGTAACATGACCCAGTGACATTATCTTGACACCAAGCCGACCAGTCCTAACACTAACCTCTTAATACTGGCGTCAAGCGAGGCGGCTGTTAGTACCATTTTTGTAAGTCTTTGGTATGACTCGACCGGGAATCGAACCCACGAGCTGCCGCATCTGAGGCGGACGCTGTAACCACTAGGCCACCGGTGCGGTTTTAATCCACACTGGAACAGTCAAATTGGACGCACGGCGCCGCAAGTTGTTCCCGACACATCCCCTTGATGAAATTAATATTTGTACTAATTATATTTCGAATATACCAACCGGTTCAAGAAAAAAAGCCGGGATATGAATTTGAGAAAGACGAACAGACAGACAGACGCCACGAGTCATCACATTATATGACCAGTCTTACGACAGGCGTATAATAAACTGTTATGCTTTAAAAGCTCCATAGTTAATTTATCCAGGTAAACTGAATACACATCCTATATATTTAATTATATTGTTAACAAATAAAAGTGGATAATGTTTTAAAATATAACGTGACAAAATTTAAGCAAACAAGATACTGACAGGATTACCCAGTAGGCCTATCTACTCACTAAGTGATGACTTTTAAGACTTTGATCAGTATGACAAAAAGTACCCTCGTTCATCCGAGGAATAATCCACTCGGAACATTTCGCCAACCATGTTAAAGAAAACGCTTAATATCTTCAGAGTTTGTCATTTTTTCTTACTGCACATCGTTTGAAATGTTAAGTTTATTTGTTTTACATGGACTGCAAAACGAGTTCTTACGATTTATATTAATCACTCTTGCTGGAATCCTAGAACCAGTACTAGCAATGTGGATTGAATATTTTGCTCAACGATAAATAACATTGTCACGGCGATGATCGAAGCCACGAACTCTCGATCTGGAGTCATAAAGCTATACCTCTAGCCAAGCATTCCACTCCACAATGCTTGTTCTTTAATTGTATTGGTTATGGGGATATTGATGCTGAAGCCCAGCATATGTAATGCATTTATATACATACTTTGAGAATAAGTTTTGACGTAATTTCTCGGAATGACGTTCACTTCCTTAAGCCATGTTTTTGCAGACTTTACAAATATAAATCGAGATGTAAATGATATCAGAAGAGACAATGAAGCCACCGTCACCTTCGTACAGACGCTGCGATATCGTAATCATCTTTCAGACATTACAACATGAACAGCATGGGTCAATATTTTACAGAGATAATAGTATTATAGACTTTTATGTAAAAGTAAATTTTCTATTTTTTCGGGGTAGATTTACTTTATTACACCGGTCATATCAACAGGTTTACATGAGTGACATCACGCAAAAGCAGCTCTGAACACGAACAGTACATCTGTGTCCATACAAAGAGTAAATATGCCTAAAAGCACCATATACACACATCCCGATTTACTTACCGGTTTTATATTATATGCGTGTAAAATGATCAGGTCAAATACAATGCATTTTCCTTCAAAATGTGACCTAATTACTTCTCAGTCACCTACGTACACTACTGTGGTAAATGTTTTGGTTTGTATCTAGGAGCGACCTTCAACGATGAAATTTGCCAGGTATCAAATAAGCTACTACAAGCAGGAATTTATGAAAGGAATAAAATGTAATCTGAGCTAATATATAACACAAATAAGTCGAGCCCCTGTTACAAGTAAAAACAAAATTTAATAAAATTTCAAACAAAAAAAATTTCCACGAGTAAATAATATGAAATTACAGTTCGAAAGATATACCTTTTTCTTTACGTATTACTAATTAAGGAATTTCAAAAATACAATGACAATATAAGACTATCCGATTCTGTTTAAGATAGAATCCAAAATCATCATTTACGAGTCCCCGAGTATATCGAATAACTGCCTTGCATCAATGCATAACCTGCTGACTGATTCTGTCCCACAGGCCCTCTTAGACTGTACTTCGGTTCCGTTGTTTCAGTACGTTTTCCGTTCCACTTTCTTTCGTTCAACGAATTATTATAGATGCCTTTCCTTTTTTTCCCAAACAGTCCTTTTCCTTCCCACACAGTTTGGGTTGTAACGGCTTTTCAGACTATCTCACCTTAAAAAAACATAAACAAACAACCTAAATCTTCCGTTACATTATACGGAAATCCATGTCGGATACATAATTCCGTATATAGAATAAATATGAATTCAATATTCTCAATTCCTACAATAATCAAGACTATAACTTAGCAAATCGCCAACGCATATGTAAAAAGAAAATCGTTGCGTGGGTTCAGATAAACAAACTAGACACAAGTATACCATATCAAGAAAATTAATCTACGACTCAACAAATAAATTCCTGCAAATACATGCTTCTACAAGCAATTAAGTCATAGCATAAACGACATATATAAATTCCCGCAAATACAAGTACTATAAGCAAATCAATCATAGCATAAAAGAAGTATATGAGATGCATACAATTACCACGTTTTCCTGCTTTTAATGTCTGTCGAAACCTTCAGATAAACGTCTCTTCCTTGGATAACAAATATTTTACAAGAAGTTTACTCTTCAAAATTCCTGGACTCTCTCTCTCTCTCTCTCTCTCTCTCTCTCTCTCTCTCTCTCTCTCTCTCTCTCTCTCTCTCTCTCGTAGAGAAGTGTAGACTAAAGTTTCAAAATCCCTTCAGTACATTTAAACTTAAGGTTTTCGATTTAAACTACGCCACCTTCCACAGCCTGACCAATCAGATTTACAATAATTCCCGCCTTTCTGGTACTAAACACTGCGTTATTTCAATCAACAAATGTCTATGACCGTGCTGTCTTCTACAATCAGTTATAAGCAGTACAAACTTGAGCCCCGCTCGGTAAGTTTAAACAAACTCAGACCTTAATTAAAAACTAATAACTTCTGACCTTGCCCGAACCAATCTGTACTTTATGGCTTGTACAAGGTGGCGATTTCCCTACAAATCACGTTAATGGTACATGTATGCTACTAAATATGTTCTACCATAATTAATTCTAACAAACAAAGATCCACTTAAACATTTGGTCCTTTACAACTACGTTAGGAGCTATTCAGTCCAAGTGTCTTTTTGTACCATGCTTTATCTTATCGAGTGTGCAAAAGTGTTCAGCCCAGTATGTAGGGAGGAAACAAAATACACAACCAACCCCAATCCTAACCTCAACCACCCACTCACCATAAAATACGAGGTCTGTAGTGCTTGGCGAATCGTTCTGCTTGCATTCCGCTGAATGAAAGTACTGCAGTAGTAACTGGATGATTTATTTATTCGGTAGAATTTGAATCGATCCACAACAATTTTTTTTTTTACTGACACACTGTAGCTGCTACCGGATTAGAGTTGCACTGAAGCTTGTAAGAAAATCTTTACTAAAATGAAAATCGCTATTGGCAAAGCACAAAGAAAGCGAGCTTCACAATACATTAATATACTTGCAATGTATACATCATGGGCGACCGCATAAGTTTTTTTGCAGGGGGTGGAGTGTTAGACTTTTTTGGCAGAGGGTCAGTCAGTCACGACCGGGAGAGTTAGTATAAGAAGCAGTCTGAAACTAAACCTAATATTTATTAAGCGTATAGTACTTAACCTTGTAAATATGTTCATTTTCATCTGCATGATTAAACTTGTTGGATATTGGGGGCTCACGTGACCTCTTTGAATCATGCTAGCGCCCATGGTGTACATTGAAAAGAGCAAGCATAAATGCAGCAACTTGACAACAAAAAATGTGCAAAATTTGTTTAAAACACACACACATATTTGACAAAAAATGTGCAAAATTTGTTTTAAACACACACAAACACACACATTCATATATATATATATATATATATATATATATATATATATATATATATATATATATATATATATATATATATATATATATATATATATATATATAAAGAATACAAATCATATGGCGAATAACAACCCTCTCAAGCGTACTGGATCCACCAAGGGATCACGTTTGTCAGGGATTAATTAAAATAGATGCAATAAACTGACGACGAACAGTACGAAACTAGTAACTAACTAGCCTAAGCGCTTTCGACTCTTAATGAGTCTTTTTCAAAGGCAAATACAAAACATAGTTACGACAAACAAATAAACACAAAAACGTTGCGTTTGTAAACCTCTACATTTCTATCTTCACATGTGCTAAAACTATAAATACAACCAGCTTGTATAGACTAGTTGCGGAAACTGAAAACGTTGTATAATTCCCTAAAAGTCTCCAAGCCAAAGCGACATCTATTTTTATTTTGTGTACATATGTAACGCAGATTATATCCCGGATATTTGGTTCTATACCGGTTATTCTTATAGTAAAAATTGAAGGATAAGAAGATTTAGAAAATGTTAAATTCTACTAAATCTTCTTATCCTTCAATTTTTACTATAAGAATAACCGGTATAGAACCAAATATCCGGGATATAATCTGCGTTACATATGTACACAAAATAAAAATAGATGTCGCTTTGGCTTGGAGACTTTTAGGGAATTATACAACGTTTTCAGTTTCCGCAACTAGTCTATACAAGCTGGTTGTATTTATAGTTTTAGCACATGTGAAGATAGAAATGTAGAGGTTTACAAACGCAACGTTTTTGTGTTTATTTGTTTGTCGTAACTATGTTTTGTATTTGCCTTTGAAAAAGACTCATTAAGAGTCGAAAGCGCTTAGGCTAGTTAGTTACTAGTTTCGTACTGTTCGTCGTCAGTTTATTGCATCTATATATATATATATATATATATATATATATATATATATATATATATATATATATATATATATATATATATATATATATATATATATATAGATAGATAGATAGATAGATAGATAGATAGATAGATAGATAGATATGCGAGATTCTCAAAACATTTTAAATGCTGGACCGTAAAGTTGGTTGCATAGCAACAGTTTGTCTTGAGTTACATATTTTTCACTATTGTTTGAGCAAACAATACGATGAAATCGCAGATGATCTGACTTCAGCAATAGTAAAAAGTATTTAAAATGGTAATGTTAAAGTGCTGCTTGAAATCTATAACTGTTACATCTGCACAATTACTACCACCACCACCACTAGCATCGTCGTCGTCTTCGTCGTCATCTTCGTCGTCATCATCACCATCATCATCAATATATATATATATAT